ATACCTACCCCGATCTGCAGAATCCAGGAGCACCCTGCCCCTAGATGTTGCTATTCAAAATTATTACATTTTTTAGCCTTGTTTGCATCATCATACCCTACCCTATCACGAATATTCCCCAGTTCTTCTGTTCACTTTTCAAGTTTCAACATCAGCCAAATTTTGTGGGGCAAAACATTTAACATAGTCTGGCCTCCACTGCCCCCACGGTGGCGCCGCCCTTGTACGTGGCCCAGGGGCGGAGTTAGACAGAGGGGCATGATCTAGTTCCTGCTGGAGATAAAGCTTTGCGGTAAAGAACAGATTCTTTGGGAAGAGATGAATCCAATGATACCCAATTTTACGTCATCAGATCAGGCATTGACCTTCCAGGTCAGGTCAAACTAAAAAATGTTTCTGTTTTAAGTCACTGTACGAATATCAAGAGCGTTGCTCATCATATACTGATGATGCTTCCGTATTGTGGTGCCAAGCCAGCTAGAACCTCTTTGCCACACTATCCGACTAGGTTTTTGCTGGCTGTGGTCATTTCAGGTCAAGGTCAATGATAGGTGTTGGCATGTCTGTGTGTATTCTGATGTGTGCACTGATTGTTCATGTGGCCCTATTGCATGAGATCATGAACTGAGAAGCTTTTACCAAAAATAGTCAAAGAAACTTCACGAGAAGTAAATTCAGCTTGCCTAAAACGCAATGCTTTTAGATTACCTAGGTTGACCTTGACCCAGGCATCTGTACATTGTCAAACCACATATTCCATGATAGGTGGGAGGAAAAACTGGCAAAACGGCCAAAATCAAGGTGTCAAGAGCTCACAAGACCCATATCCAACACAAGATATTGGGTATTTGTCATTTGGGTCATGACATGGCCTGAAGAACAAGGTCATATCTCCGAAGCCATAAAATCACAGAAGCTTGAAATTTTCAGTGGACGCTAAGAAAGGAAAGAGAAGCAGCTATATGGAAAATCAGGTTTCTAGCTTTTAAAATGTTAAGTGCAGAACAGAAAACTACCTGGGGGGGGGGGGGGCAACCCCTGCCACATGTGCGGGCGAGGGTTAAGGATACCTTTCATAAACGCCAAAAATCAATAACATGTTTACTTGGGGAACCGTGTCAACGCCCAATTCCCCTATTTATGACACAATTGTGCTCTTGCTTTTATAACCCTTACAGATTGAACAGGTACTGTGGAAACAAATTGCTGATTAACACGCGCACCGACGGGGATCTGCGCCAACTTCGTACCGACGGGGGGCGGATGACCGCCCCCCCCCCCCGAGATCTCGAGAACGAAGCAAGATAGCGACGATAGCGACAAGCGGTAAACGGCATCGGATACGCACGGTCAAGGTCTACAATTTTTACTAAGGTCATTTTTAGGTCAGGTCAAAGATGACGTCACAGGGGTCAAAAAAGTCAAAATGGCAGCACTAGACATGGAGAGTTTTTTCTCGAATAAGTTTCAAATTAGTCAAGATAGGAACAAACGAAGGGCATCATCGTGATCCTCTCGTCAACCAGCATCGAATGATATATGTATATATATATATATATATATATATATATATATATATATATATATATATATATATATATATATATATTTGCTGACCTCGAAAGATCAAGGTCAAAGGTTGACCTCAGGTCACGTGACCTTGAGGTCATCGTGTATATCATTTGATGCGTCTTGACGAGCTGAACACAATGAGACCATCCGCGCGGCTGTATCTTGCTCCTGTACGGAGTTATTGGCAAAAAACTTGGTGACCTTTGATGATGTCACATGACCTTACAGCTGCCCAACAGCAAAACAGACCTCAAGATAGTGAAGGTTGATCGTATATGAAGCCATGTATGGTATATGGGGCCATTCCGACCTGTTTTAGTGGTAGAAACAGGGAGTTGATTTTCCCCCCATTGACTTATAATGGGGAAGTCGCGAAATTGACCTGACCTTAGGTCACCGATATCAAAATTCCGAGATAAACAAATTGTAGCTACTAATGACCTCATAACATCCTGCGACTTTCAAAGACCACCGACATTTACTATAGCTCTGGCATGGTGACAAAGTTGCAAAGAAGTGACTTGAGGTTGGGTCATTCAAAGTGACCTGACCTTAAAAGTTAGGAGGTTCAAACTTGCACACCATGTGTAAAATTGATGAGGGAATAGTCGTACCAAATTTCGCGGCGCTACGCGCCGCGGTTTTCCCGCTATTCGCGAAAAACCTCAGGCGGGGGGGGGGGGACGGATATTCGCCCCCCCCGTCGGTGCGCGTGTTCAGTTTGGTGGGCGCCATTATCATTGGGCTTAAATTATAGCAAAAAACATGATTTTGTGAGGTTTCTTCATTAATATGACAATTATTCACTGTTTAGTTTACACTTTGACCCGAGGTGCTTCGGCAAGCAAGACTAGTTTAATGGCTACCAAAAAAAAGTGCGAAATGACTGCCATGTTTCCTGATTTCTCAGATATGCGCTACACACAGACATTGTCAAATTCAGAAAATGCCCAAGCACCTGGTTTCTAAAATGTCCTTACCATTTTCACATGTAAAAATGCCTTACATTCCAAAAGTGGTTTAATTGCGATGTATTGTTGCCATCTGGTATAGAGGTAACAAAAACATTGGAAAGTGATTTTTTTGCAATGGGTCAGTTTATTGAGCGAGTCAACTTTGCTTGCAAATGCTAGTATTGTTTGTTTCAGAGACTGTGCTCCAATTTGACTCTCCGAAGACTATGCTACTGAGCTTAATATGTTTCCACTAACCTAAACAATATGGTAGTACAGCTGAAAATGGAATATTAAATGCAATATCTATCCCAGACTCCCTGGTGTCAGCGACATTGGTGAACCAATTCAAGGCGCGACTGGACAAACACTGGAAGAACAAAAGATCTACGACATCCTCTTCCCTAAATTCAGAATGTATATCCTTACGAGCTCGATGAGAGTGGGATCCTCAGACCAAGTGGCCTTTTTTTAACCCGAACACCTTGAAAGCAAGGTATGTGTGTATAAATATATATAGGTATAAGTACCTAAGCCTGGCATCCCAGGAAGATGCCAGATACTGTTTTGGGTTGTAGGTTTGTAGGTTGTAGGTAAGGTTAGGTCAGGATAGTTAGGTTTGTATTGGTCTATACATCTCAGTCGTCCCAATCTGGCATCTTCCTGGGACACCAAGCTTACTAATACCTATATATATATATATATATATATATATATATATATATATATATATATATATATATATATGTATATTGTAACAAATTCACATTTTCTCGTCAGTGCTTTAAACGTTATTTTAGTCAAGGCGATAATTTCAGTTGTTCTGAAAGTGCCCTAAACATTTTGTTTTTTCTCAACAAAGTGCGTTATTTCACGTGGCCTTTCTCGCGGTGCGTAATTTAAACGTTTGTCCTTTTTTAAGATACCTACAACTGTTTTAGCTGCTCTAAGGATGTTTTTAGCTACTTATCAATTTGTTATCAATTTGTTTCATTTACGCATCAGTCTAATTTAAAGGGACCCTCCCACCTTCAAAAAAGTTAATGAATTGGCATGAAAGTGATGTCACTCGGTTCAGAAAGAGCAAAAACGAATATCTACCAAATTTCATTGAAAAATATTCACCGGTTTTCAAGATATTACACTTTTACTTTTGTTTACTTTTTGGGATCTCCGCTGTTCCTAGCGACTTTATTTGAAAGTGCGGCATTTGTTGCGCGCAAAGCAGCATATACTACCACCGCGTGCTACAAAACGTTTTAGTCAAACATTTAACGGACGTTCAAAAGCCTGATGACGTCATCAGATTCCCGTAATGGTTAAGAGATAGGGACCACGCTGGTCCCACCCTGCAAGTAAAGGGAAGAAATTTCTTGAACACCATAAAGCTGCGGGGGTTGCGACCAGGATAAATGGTGGTTTCTGAGCCTGGCCGCAAACTTGGCTATCTCAACTCAAAACTAATGTTAAGGTGGGAGGGTCCCTTTAAAATACATATTAAGACGAATGATTGAGCTTCTAATATTGTGTCCGCCATATATATATATATATATATATATATATATATATATATATATATATATATATAATGACCTTAAGAAGCTTTCATCTCAAGGTACCAGACTACCTACTGGCTACTACACGGAAAATAACATAAAGATAATCAATGTCCAATCAATGCCCAATATGGGGTGCATTTGGCATCCAAAAAATTAGGGAGAATCATCGGGGACCAGATAATTATCAGGGGACATGTCCAGTATAGCAAGAACACAAAATTATCCCAGATTATTCCTCTTTGGGGAGAATCAGAATGGCCATTCATGGCTGCTGCTACTAGTGATGTCAATTTCAGAAAACATATGTCCAATGTCCGTCCAATGTCCAATACTTACGTCGACTGTCCGTCCAAAAATGTCCAAGCCAGCCATTTGTCCAAAAATGTCCGACATCTAGGCAATAGTTTACACTCAACACGGTTATTTAATTTGCTTTTAATGTATCGTTACCAGCTCAAAAGTGGTAATCATATCGAAAGCTGAGCTTTCTAATAGCCAATCAATGCTAAACACGATTACTTTATAAGAATGTTGAGGTGTAGCAAGCGATTGTCCAAAGTTGTCCAAAGCCTGCTGTCATTGTCCAACCGAATTCCGAATTGGACATTGGACAAAATCGGAATTCCGAAGATTCAAGTTCCGATTGACACCACTAGCTGCTACTATGCTGCTTAGCTGCTATCACAGGTGATATCACATGTGTGATAGCTGCGAGCTACTAGCAACGGTGAAACAGGGCCCTGGCGTCACTTTCACATTCACCGATTTGGATTAGCGTGGATGGTAACGCCAGCTCAAACTTTACCGATTCCCAACATTTTCCAGATGCCGAATGCACCAGCACCCATGCTGTCATATTCAACAAAACATTCATAACTGAGAATCTGCTCCCGAACTAGCCAAATTGTTGACTTACCCATGACGAATCCGATGGCAAAGTATCCAATATCAAAAGACCTGTCAACCTGTTACACGCCAACGCCAACGCCAAGACCAAGATGGGCGCCAACGACGCCAACGACCAAACTGATTTGAATTTGAGTCAAAGCTTAAGTGGTGAATTTAATTCTATAATTCACAAACACATCAACAAAACTCAATTTAATGGTGCCTTAAAATCAAAACATGGAGTACAAAAACAACTAAAAATATCATTTATCTGTATCGCTTTTAAATACATACACAAATTATTAACTAATATTCATAATATTAATAAAATATCAATCACACAATCATCACTAATCGGTCAAGCTTCCGGTTCCCGGCTGTCCCTATGCTAAATGCCACCCGCGACGTTTACTACAATATGGTGCTAAACACGGCCGTGTTTACTACGAATGAGTGGTAAAAATCCCTTTCCCTGTTACTACAGATGGGTAGTAAAAACCTTCGAGGATGTGTTGGATTTTTCACAAAGAAAGCTTACCTAGATAGGTACCAGAACATTGGCAGCGGAAAGCAGACTCATTACCTACACTTGCTTTGCCTGCTCACTTTCTACTGTTGCCTTCAATGGACAATATTTATGAAGTAAGAAGGTTTTATGATTATAGGTTTTAAATAAGTACTTTACTTAATGTCATCAGTTAGTATGAAATAGTAGTTCAGTGCCAAACGAAAAATCCATGCACTATGCTAGATGCCTCGGGGGCTCTTATCCGCTCTGGGTTCAGAGTGCAGTGGCATACCACACTCACCCTCAACCAGAGCTGATAGATAGTGAAAATGCCAGACGTCGTGATATCTGCACCAGTGAACCGTGTCGCACATTTGATCCCAATAATGAACAGCACAGGGGTGACGTAAAAATGTGCGTTAGTTGGAGCACCTAAACTCGACAGATTGTCATTACCTAATTAGTTTTCACATTGTAAAGCTTAAACTACACTTCATGCTCTTTTGGCTCACCTGTTATCAGTATCAGTAAATAGGGTATTAGTAAATCTGGCGTTACCATCAATGCTAAGTGCTAACAAGTAAATATGAAGTCCAAGGAAGATAAAAATCATAATCTTACTTGAACTAACCTTACCTACTACCCTAACTAACCTACAACCTACAAACCTCAACCTACATACAACCTCCATACCTACAACCTACCCACCTACAACCTACCAACCTTATATGTGCCGACGGTGGCACCAGATTTATGGATACCCTTATTTGTTAGGTACTTCACTCCACTTCTCATTTTATTTGAAGCTCATTTAAATTCTTGTATTTAAGTCTGTGTAAACTATTATTTTAAAAACCTGATGCTTTTCCATGACTGTAATCTCACTGTTTGCTATGTGTATTTTGTAGTGTGTACTGTGTGCAAATCCAGTATCCTACACTTGTATGCTACAGGCCTTGTTTTGATCTGACTAACTGTTAATATGTTTCAGCTTTGAAGACTAGTATCTTTTGAAATTGAAATTTGCCTCTCAGTCTCTCAAGAATCAAGATGCCAAATAGATGTGCAGGATTTGATTGCTGACAAACCAGGGATGAGGCTCAAGAGTCAAGAGATCACCCTGCATTGGCAAGTAAAAGCTACAGACTCTTGATTTTTTATATTGTTACAGGTTATCTGTCACCGAGAGCGATTGCTGTAGTTCAATTTCTTGCATCAAAATGGCAGAATATGACTTCACTGATCACTCTGACGTCATTTACGGCCGACCTATGGTAGCTACACAATTTTTATTTCTATAAAATGTTTCAGATTGATGCAGCCGAAGGTACTGCAAGTTTCGTATTGACACGTCTAGTGGTTTAGAAATATTGCAACAAATATATATTTTATTTTTTTTCAATATATAAATGTAAATATTTTATTGCAGAAAACAGGAGAGGGGCTCTGTAGAGCCCCACCCTCCAGTCATGCGTGGGTAAAGGCCCATCAGTCACTAAAACCAGAATAAGTGCAAAAAATTATTACCAAATGCCCGGAGACTGCTTTACCATTGCCAACATGTGTGTGTGTGTGTGCGTGTGTGTGCGTGTGCGTGTGTGTCAACAATGTGTTAACAACAAATACAACACTTGTGCCTGGCGTATGTTAACACTAAACACTATTAGCCATATTTTATTGATACTAATCGAACCTTCCAGGTGGCTGGAACAACCCCAGTGCCGCACAGTTCTGCGGGATATTCCGGCACCTGCTCCACCGCTGCGGCGTCCGGCCCGGCAGCACAGGGAAAGTGGCAGCCCTCGACACGACCAGCATCCTGGCAGTCGGTCACACGACCAGCGGACGGGGAGCCAGCCTTACTACCTCGGCCTCCACCACCTCAGACAACGGTGCCACGGCACTCCACATCATCACGGAGCACGACTTCCAGCCTGGGCTGTCGTCTGGTGGGCAACATCGTCACCTACATCGCAGAGTTCGTGGTGAAGAAGGCGCTCGACTCTGTCAGCTGTAGCACCTGTCAGGAGGCCCTGGTGAGCGACATCCAGCCGGACGACATGACACAGCTTTACCACCTCTTCATCATCTCTGCCAGATGAGCTAAGGTGGGGACGGGTTTCATGCCTGGGATCTGACTGAGACCCGCTCATACCCTGCCGAAGTGTTGGTGATTTCAGCGGTCAGCTGTCTCTAGCCGGTGTCAGTGAGTCGCGGCCAGCTGCCGCTGGAGTGGGTATCTACCGTCGATAGCTGCTGTGTGGCGGATAGCGTGGATTTGGATGGACACTTCATATTAATGAACAGATCAATGTCTGGCCGATAAAAGACGTATTTTGTCGATGATTGCTTAGTGACTGAGTGGGTCCACTGGCGACCAATGCAGTGGGCGCTGGGTTAACGCCTCGCCTCTTGTGACCGTGTCGATATGTAGCACTGTTAATTGCCGATTCGTTGCCGGCCGTCTCTGCTCCGTGGCTGGCTGATCCGGCACAAACTGGTGTTCGTGGCTGAAGGCGCGGCTACAGTTACACTAGCTCGCCACGTGCCTGTGCGACTATCGTCGGTGCTGTCTGCAAGGGCGATGTCGGTGCCTGTAGGGGGCGCGGATTGATTCAAAGTGAGGAATGGGTCATCGGAGCTCGGGTCAGGTCATGTTCGGCTAAAATAAGCGGATTTTGCGATTTGCCGCATCCGGGTGAATTTCCTTGCCTTCTACTATGGACGTCAAACCCCTTGAGACCCCACTTTTTTGAGATAATTTTGAAATGCGTCAACTCTCGTTGATAATATTCTGGCAATGTGTGTTTCATAACCTGCCGAAACTTTTATTACTAAGGTATTTTGACGCCAAACGATTATGAAAGGTACTTCTCATTCACTCGTAATGTTAAATTTTACGGAACGAATCTGCTGTTTGGGTAGAGGCTACGCGCTCATGGGGCGGAGCCACGTAATGACGTCAGCGCTAAGCTCCGCCCTACCCCTCCGGCGCTCCTTGCCCGGCGACCGGTCACTCGCGACTCTCGCTCCGTTCAGGCTTGATGGTGGGCGGTAGCTGGTAGCGGTAGCGGGCGCTGGTAGATGACATTAAGAGCAGATGGCGCTGGTGGCAGGACTCGAGTGTGGCCGAGCGCAAGCCTCTGCCCGGGCCTGAATTGACCTTAGCATTACGAGTGAATGAGAAGTACCTTTCATAATCGTTTGGCGTCAAAATACCTTAGTAATAAAAGTTTCGGCAGGTTCTGAAACACACATTGCCAGAATATTGTCAACGAGAGTTGACGCATTTCAAAATTATCGCAAAAAAGTGGGGTCTCACGGGGCTTGACGTCCATAGTAGTGCATGTTTATGCATTTTACATGCGTTTTTTTAGTGTTGATGTCTAGATAACGTGCATTTGCCTCGAGGTCAAGGCTGCGCTTCATATGGGCAGTTTTCGGAGCATCTTGCTCATTTTATTCGTAATCCTTAATTATGTTTGCGGATTTGTGCCCGCAAATCATTTTTTAAAGTAAGATTGACACGGGATTCGAGATCGGCGCCCATAAATACACTTCACATGACCCGCCATGTGTCAAGGCCATCCGAGGTCATCTAAGGTCGCTGACCTTGTATGACCTTATGTGACCCGGTTCGCTAGATTTCGAGATGAGGTTGATTGGGAATGATGTAACCCATTTCGCCGACAGTTCACGCGTTTTGGTCGATTTTATAGCGAAAGATCTCAAACTCCAGTGACTTTACTGGTTCGATTTCCAGTGTTTGACCTGACCTCTGAGTTCACCCGTTGACCTAGTACCCTGAAATTTGGTATCACTGGTTTACTCACATCGCGGACAGCATGCCTATTTTTTCCGTTCTTGCTCCGTCGAGGGGCGAACGGCTGGAGTTCACTCCGTTCACCCTGGCTTCCCCTACTCGTAAGACGCTGACAAACTACGAACGGGTGAGGGCTAAAATTGCACTTATTGTCGATCATTGTCCATTGCATACTGCATACATAGATATAAAGTATGGTAGCCATAATGGGAAACGAATTTAATCTTAAAGTAGCATGCCAATTGCATCTACCTTCGGTGCCGCATATCCTTTATCAGCGTCTTCAGGGCTATATGTCTAGGGCTGATGTAATTACATTACTATAAATACACATGTTTCTGCCCTTGTTTCACAATCTACTCATTCCAAAGAATGCCATAGGTAAAAAAGATTAACACTTTTCGGTCGAAAAATACCACAAAATCTGTCCCAAACACCCCCGTCCTCCCATAGTGTTTACACAGCGCCGCAGATTCTCGCCCTCACCAACATGGCGGCCGCTGCTACGTATTCGCGAGTCGCTCCCGACATGGGGGTGCCCTATCTAGTCTTTATATCTATGAAGATACGTATTACAGGAACTATTTTTTCGCAAAAAGAAACATTAAAATGCAAAATAATAGGTATTTTTTCATTTTCTTCTTTTGAAATAATATTAAAAAAATATGTCGGTATTTTGTCAAGTTTTCAACAATAAATATAGTGAAAACCAAATAGTAAATATCCACATAATTTCAGTTGAAACATTTTTCTGACAGCACTACAGACGAATCAAGAGAGGCAATTGCCCAAGGAGTCAAAGCAAGACAACTTTATGTTCAACTTTTTTTTGTTAAGTTAACTGAGAATGTTTTGAGCAGATTAAATGCAAAAAAGACATAAGATAATAAATTTTTAATTTAGTCACCTCTATTGCTACGAAAGTGCGCCACATTTGTATGCTATTCCGTTTGTAATGCGCATCGGACTGCTGTCAATTTAGCAGCACTTTGATTATCCAACTACAGTTTGATATTCAGGGTGCGTCGATTTCGCCCAAACTTGCCCCAGGGACCAAGTCTGACACGCTGAGCACGAATCTGGTGTCAGAAATCCGCTATTCTCAACCGATCACCCAAATTTACCGTTTTTGAGTTCGTCCATCTACAGATTGACAAACTCCAGGGGCCATCGATTTGGCCCAAAAATGGGTCTAGGGGACCAAGTCTGACACGCTGAGCACGAATCTGGTGTCAGAAATCCGCTATTCTCAACTGATCACCCAATTTTACCGTTTTTGAGTTCGTCCATCTACAGATTGACAAACTCCAGGGGCCATCAATTTGGCCCAAAAATGGGTCTAGGGGACCAAGTGTGACACGCTGAGCACGAATCTGGTGTCAGAAATCCGCTTTTCTCAACCGATCACCCAAATTTACCGTTTTTGAGTTCGTCCATCTACAGATTGACAAACTCCAGGGGCCATCCATTTGGCCCAAAAATGGGCTAGGGAGACCAAGTCTGACACGCTGAGCACGAATCTGGTGTCAGAAATCCGCTATTCTCAACCGATCACCCAAATTTACCGTTTTTCAGTTCGTCCATCTACAGATTGACAAACTCCAGGGGCCATCGATTTTGCCCAAAAACGAGTCTAGGGGACCAAGTCTGACACGCTGAGCACGAAGCTGGTGTCAGAAATCCGCTATTCTCAACCAATCACCCAAATTTACCGTTTTTGAGTTCGTGCATCAACAGATTGACAAACTCCAGGGGCCATCGATTTCGCCCAAAAATTGGTCTAGGGGACCAAGTGTGACACGCTGAGCACGAATCTGGTGTCAGAAATCCGTTTTTCTCAACCGATCACCCAAATTTACCGTTTTTGAGTTCGTCCATCTACAGATTGACAAACTCCAGGGGCCATCGATTTGGCCCAAAAATGGGTCTAGGGGATCAAATCTCACACGCTGAGCACGAATCTGGTGTCAAAAATCCGCTATTCTCAACCGATCACCCAAATTTACCGTTTTTGAGTTCGTCCATCTACAGATTGACAAACTCCAGGGGCCATCGATTTGGCCCAAAAACGATTCTAGGGGACCAAGTCTGACACGCTGAGCACGAATCTGGTGTCAGAAATCCGCTATTCTCAACCGATCACCCAAATTTACCGTTTTTGAGTTCGTCCATCTACAGATTGACAATCTCCAGGGGCCATCGATTTCGCCCAAAAATGGGTCTAGGGGACCAAGTCTGACACGCTGAGCACGGATCTGGTGTCAGAAATCCGCTATTCTCAACCGATCACCCAAATTTACCGTTTTTGAGTTCGTCCATCAACAGATTGACAAACTCCAGGGGCCATCGATTTTGCCCAAAAACGAGTCTAGGGGACCAAGTCTGACACGCTGAGCACGAATCTGGTGTCAGAAATCCGCTATTCTCAACCGATCACCCAAATTTACCGTTTTTGAGTTCGTCCATCTACAGATTGACAAACTCCAGGGGCCATCGATTTCGCCCAAAAATGGGTCTAGGGGACCAAGTGTGACACGCTGAGGACGAATCTGGTGTCAAAAATCCGTTTTTCTCAACCGATCACCCAAATTTACCGTTTTTGAGTTCGTCCATCTACAGATTGACAAACTCCAGGGGCCATCAATTTGGCCCAAAAATGGGTCTAGTAGGGGACCAAGTCTGACACACTGAGCACGAATCTGGTGTCAGAAATCCGCTATTCTCAATCTCAATCAATCTGTAGATGGACGAACTCAAAAACGGTAAATTTGGGTGATCGGTTGAGAAAAACGGATTTCTGACACCAGATTCGTGCTCAGCGTGTCACACTTGGTCCCCTACACGCATTTTTGGGCGAAATCGATGGCCCCTGGAGTTTGTCAATCTGTAGATGGACGAACTCAAAAACGGTAAATTTGGGTGATCGGTCGAGAATAGCGGATTTCTGACACCAGATTCGTGCTCAGCGTGTCAGACTTGGTCCCCTAGACCTATTTTTGGGCCAAATCGATGGCCCCTGGAGTTTGTCAATCTGTAGATGGACGAACTCAAAAACGGTAAATTTGGGTGATCGGTTGAGAATAGCGGATTTTTGACACCAGATTCGTGCTCAGCGTGTCAGACTTGGTCCCCTAGACCCATTTTTGGGCCAAATCGATGGCCCCTGTAGTTTGTCAATCTGTAGGTAGATGGACGAACTCAAAAACGGTAAATTTGGGTGATCGGTTGAGAATAGCGGATTTCTGACACCAGATTCGTGCTCAGCGTGTCATACTTGGTCCCCTAGACCCATTTTTGGGCGAAATCGATGGCCCCTGGAGTTTGTCAATCTGTAGATGGACGAACTCAAAAACGGTAAATTTGGGTGATCAGTTGAAAATAGCGGATTTCTGACACCAGATTCGTGCTCAGCGTGTCAGACTTGGTCCCCTAGACCCATTTTTGGGCGAAATCGATGGCCCCTGGAGTTTGTCAATCTGTAGATGGACGAACTCAGAAACGGTAAATTTGGGTGATCGGTTGAGAATGGCGGATTTCTAACACCAGATTCGTGCTCAGCGTGTCACACTTGGTCCCCTAGATCCATTTTTGGGCGAAATCGATGGCACCTGGAGTTTGTCAATCTGTAGATGGACGAACTCAAAAACGGTAAATTTGGGTGGTCGGTTGAGAATAGCGGATTTCTGACACCAGATTCGTGCTCAGCGTGTCAGGCTTGGTCCCGTAGACCCATTTTTCGGCAAAATCGATGGCCCCTGGAGTTTGTCAATCTGTAGATGGACGAACTCACAAACGGTAAATTTGGGTGATCGGTTGA